TGCTATTGGGTTGGAGCTAGACTTTAACCTTTTGGGAAATAAAGGTGTTTTCCACTAAGCCCCCAAAAAGTTAAACTTTTGCTGGGGGATTTAGAGCACCCAAGTTGTTTCGGGGGGATGAAGAGAAACTGACAGGACACCTTGCGCCAGAATATGAGGGTTGGTGGCAACTGGCGCCAATTTCCAGACCTTGCTCGGGCAGCAGAGTTGCGGCGATGTCTTTCGGCCTAGGACCATGTTAATATTGAAAGTTTATATCGGCCATTGCCCTGACTATTCGAGCCTTCAGCATTTCTTGCAGAGATCCAGGTGGTTTGATCAACAAGGGAATACAAGGGAGATGAAGCTTAGCTCGCAAAGGATGGAGGTTGGTTGGTGTCAATTCGGGGGTGTGATATGCGGTTCAGAGCTTGGAGAGTGGAGTGAATGAATCATCGTGCTTGATGTTTTTTGATGTCCTTCCCCCCCCCCCCCCAAACACCTGCCTAACGCCTGACCAACAAATACCTGGGGGTTTTCAACGAAGGGACCAAACAACTTGGCGGCCTCCTGTCGGTTTCCTTTAAACACGAAACACGAGCTAGCGGTCCGTTTGGAGAATCCGGCTTTCACATCTTGGCAGCCGCTAGCTCCAGGACACTGGAGGAACGCATCGATGAAAGCAAAGCAGCGCTTCAGAGATACAGGAGCCATCCGGATAGCCGACTTGCGCGGCGGGTGCTGGTTTTGGGGGTTGGCATATTTTTGTTGGGGGGCCCCATCGAAAAACCTCCATGTGTTCAAATCTGGGAAACACTCGTCAGTTTTTGTTTGGGGAATCGGACCGGGAAGCCGAAATGGCGCAACTGCTGTCCTTTGGTGTTTGTTGAAAGCCACACAAAGGGGTAGCCTCAAGACACTTTAGCTGGCAAATGCGGATCGGAAGTGACCCAAAGAACTGTTCTTCGGAGCCAAAGGTCCTGGCAACCATTTGTCAGATGGAGCGGTTCCTTGCCACACACACACCTGTTCCCGGCGGTATGTTTGTTTTGGATAGCTGATGATTCTAAATATCCATGAATCCAAAGCTATTTGTTTCTGGATGTTTTGTTTTTGTTTTGGATTCCCATGGCCTTCAGTCTTCTCTCTTGCTCGGGCCCAACCACGTGCTCGGTATGTGGCCCTGCAATGTATCGCGGAGGCCTCGCGATACGCCACACAAGGGATACATCGCAGTGTTTTCCTGAAAGATTCCCAGGGAGGGATACTACGTCCTCCAGTAGTGCCCTTTCTCACCCTTGTTTGGGGGAGGGTTCCCCTGCTAAAATAGACTACAGGAAGAAGTTGGTACCCTTATTCTAACCTCTCTACTGGAGGACCTAGGATACATAGTGTCGCGTCCCGCGGCCGCGGGAGCGAATCGATTCGCATTCCGGTCGTCGTCCCACTGACTGCTTGATGCTCCGGCAGCGCAGTCTAGCTTGGAACTATCATGTTGAATGCAAAGGTCTGGCCAGAGCACAACCTGCAGGTCACAACACCTGAATCCTTACCAAGTCTGGAATGCAGTGCCCAAAGCCATGTCATGTGAGGAATCAGAAGAGCGCCTGCCTTTGTTTGCAGTTGAGAACAGATCCCCTACGTGCCTTCAAATGCAGATGTCAAGAGGACCTCCTTCCGTACATAAGGGCGCCGCATATAGACCAGCCAGACATTGACAATTGTTGGATTGCCCTGCAGTTCTCTGACGGCATTGTGGCGCTTTCAGAACCCCATTCGGGGGAGGCCACTTATCATCCTGAAGGAAGAATGGGCTTGGTCAAGGTCACCCCCTAAGTGGGTGAAGGGAAACCGCCGATTCCATTTGGCGTTGAGAACTCCCAAGAGTCCAAACCCCAGAAGAATCTGAGCCCTTCACTTCCGGCTGGATGCCGCGACTCGGCGGACTCGGCGGCCATGCGCCTCAAGCTGCTGCCGCTGCTGCCGCTGTTGCCAGCGCTGGCGCTCGAAGAGCCCTGGGACATTGCGGGGAGCCTGCGGCGGGCGCGCAGCACGCTGGAGGAGGGCGGACGGGTCCGGGTTAGGTTTAGCTCACCCGCAGTGTGAGCTGCCGACCAGTAGCCACAAGTCTTGAGGTCACTCAGCTGCATTCTTTACTCGTAGAGCTGGTCCATCATGCCATGCGCAGAGTCAGTGGAAGCAGCTTGATCCGGTGGATGCCCACTAAAAAAGTGCAAGGGTTGCACACCCAACGCAAATTCAACCATGGAATTCGCGGTCGCTTGATGTGAGCAGTATTGAGTTGGCATCCACCGTACCGTTGGAAGGTCTTGGGCCGCAAGTTTGTTTCATTCCGCATCTTTGTGAGCTGCCAGCCCCACAATGTCTTGACGTTTTCTTTTCATGGAAAACCTGAGGATTTGCACAAAGTCACCCAGTTGTTGTCGTTTAAACTAAATGATATTCCCAGGATCAACGTCTTTGATCTGAATCTGACTATAGAGTTAGGACGCGTGATTCCGGAATGCTTCGACCCCTAGAGCAAGGTGTTCACGAAACAGGAAGCGAATACTGGGTGGACGTCGGCGGTCATGGAGCCCTAGGGTTGCGGGAAAAAATAGCGCTGGTGGGGATACCGGGCAGGGCATTCACCAAAACACACGTGACAAATTCAAAGAGTGACATGCAAAGTTTTACATTTTGCAGTGGTGTTTTGCTTCAACCATTTCGATGGCGCCACCTAGCTCGAAGTAGTGAGAAGTGCCCAACTACATGGCCATTGCTGGAGTACACGCACTAGATCGAATCATATTCCAACACGTCCCAATTCCAATCATCTCACCATTGTGCGGCCGCGGGTTGCTGGCGGGTCCCAGGACAGGCAACCAACCCGTGGTTTGCCTTCTCCGGATAAATAAGCAGCCGCCCTGGTAGTGTAGACACCCTTTTCAAGGTTTCAAGAAAGGCTGTCCATTTCAGTGGAAAAGGTGCAGCCCTGACCCAAATTCCTGAGGAAGCCTTCGCCCGCGTGGGCCACGTAGAGGTGCATCTGCTGCCGGCACCGCGGCAAAAAATGGAGCTGAGCGAGTTGGGGCGGGGCATTTCCAGAAAAATGGTACCGGTGTACATTGAACGCCTACCCGCTTACGGTTTCGTGGACCTGTCCGAAAAGGCTGTACTTTTTACATCAAGCAGAAGAGACACCCCGGAGCCAAACAAGTACAACTTGTGCCCACGAGAAATTATTCCAACATGGCCCTGCAAACATGTCCCTTGAAGAGCTAGACGGCCCTTGCATTCCGAATCATGGCTTGGCTAGAATGCAAGATTGAGAGCTCCCACTCCAAATCCTGAACGAAGCAATGCCCAAGCTTACCGAGCTTTTCCGAGTTGGGTGCAATCCCAGGCAAACTATTTCTTTGGGTAGGAAGCTCCTCACACCCAACGCCTCCAAGACCCCTCCAACAGACAGTTCCTTTCCTTGTTGGGTTGGGGGGGGGGGGTGAGGGTATGCTCAAAGGTAGGTTGAGGGGTTCTTGGAGCGTCGAAGGCAGTTCTAGAGCTGCTCGGGGACGTCTCGGAGAAGGCGGGTGGTCGCAGATTAGGCGTAAACCACCCTTTCTTTTTGGGTTCAAGCCTACCCACCGTAGGGCTTTTGCATAAGTGTACCTCACGTGGATGAGCACTCTGCGTTGGTCAGTGATGAATATTCTGAACTAGCAAGTTCGCCAAATGGATTCTTTGCAGAGCAAGCCCTACTTGGCTGTTCGCCGAAGGTAGTAAGTTGTTGGTAACCTAGGTTAGCAACTACTTGTAAGTCCTTCTAAGTGGGGCTAGATTATTAAGGGATATACCCCAAGTCCCCATGTGGCTAACCACTTGCTTGGCCGAACCTCCAAGTATGTAAGGGGCTTCTTAGCTGATTTTGTTCCAAGTCATCCAACTACTCCGATGGGCGCTTGCCAGGTGCACCGCGTGCTGCAGGGCGGGTACTTGAAGCATTTGCGCGATAGTGAGGGGGAGGTGGTGTACGAGCTGTCAGCGGAGGATGAGTGGGCGGTGGAGGAGCTGCTTGACTTTGGTGCATTTTGCTTGGATGTTAGGACTTTAGCTTTTTGCCAACCAATGGGTTTTCCATTAAACCACTAAAAGTTAAACTTTTAGCAGGGGAGCAGACAGCAACCGAGTTGATTTTTTGTCTCAGGAAACCTCTGAGGGTACCCCTGTTTTGGTGGCTTTAAGAGGAAACCAAAAGGTAAACCACCATTTTGGGGGTTCCTCAAAAAAGAGACACTTCGAGATGTTGGTTGATTCCATTTTTCGTGGGGTTAGGAATCTAGTGGAAGTTGACCCGAAGGACACAGTTTTGTCAGACACCTGGTGTTTGACCTTCATTGACCATTGGCCAACAAATGGTTGCTGGAGGTCGAACAACAGAGGGTGAAATGAGAATTTGTGGGAACCCAGTGACCCAGTTGATGAAAAAGCCACCGGTTGACGGATATGGGCCTATGGGTCTGTCTTTTGGTTGATGGTACCCTTTTTGGGTTGCTCTGAAGGGAAACCCAAAAATATTAAGGCACACCATAGCAACCATTTGAGCCGGACGGGGGCGAAGGGATTCGGATGTGGCGAGGAGTTAATCTTCAGGTCTCGTCGGGGTCTTCATGCCTCCAGCCGACCTTCAACCCCCAGTTCTGAGAATGGAACGTGGATATGTTCACTGGTCCCTGCATCAGAACATACTGGACTATGTATGTATGTGCGCATAATTAATACATGGGCATCCAGGCATATTGCAGAGAAATCTTTGTTTGATTGACGAACGTTAGGACTCAAATGGTCGCTTGTTCATTCATTTCATCAAGCACATGTACCTTGTCAGTGTGTCCTTTTGTGGGGGATTCCTCAAAATGGTGGTTTTTGGTTTCCCTTTTGACCAACCTCAAAAGGCAGGCCAGTGTTGCCCGAGTTGCCCGCATCAACGCACCCTAGTCACGGACTTGGCGAGGCGCCATGTTGGGGTGTCACAGCTTCATGATGATATTCAGTGAGCCGCCAAAGTGGTGTACCCAGCTCCATATGGAACCCCAAAAGGGGTCCACCAAAAGGAGATTTCTCTCTAGATGAAGGCTTTTTGGTTTCCGTGTCGATCTGTAAGAAGCATGCGTGACATGTTAAGGGTAAGTTCACCGCAGCTTTGCATTGCTCCCGATTCCTGCAGAGAGGCAACCAAGGGTGCCTTCAACCCACCACAAGGACAAGGGAGCATTAAGCATTACCTCCCCAGATCAACATGAAACCCCCAACCCCCTCATTTCTTTTGCGGGCTCCTTAAGGTAAAGGCTTCGAAGAGGGTTCTATGTTTGCAATATTTGCTACGGTGGATGCCCTAAATATTGCAAGGAACAAGCGAAACCTTGTAAATTCGACCATGGTTTGTGGTTGGTCTACGTAGGATATACATCAGGCATCCTGCGTACGTGCACCATGAAGTACCCCTTTTTGGTTAACCCCGAAGGAAAACCGTCGCGCCAAGTTGGGAACCCGCTCCGATTTCTAACACACTTGACAGACCCAGGTACACCATGGAGTTGTTTTTAAAGGAGAAGCTTAAGGAACATCCTCACGCCATTTCAAGGGGCGCGATTAAAGAGCCCAGGTATACTATGAAGTACCCCCCTTTTTGTTGCTTTTAACAGGAACCCCAAGGGAAACCCTCGCGACTTTCCACAAACAAACAACTCGTCGACCGACCGAGGTACACAAGGAAGTACTCCCGTTTTGTTGCCTTTAAAGGAAAAGCTCAGGAAAGCTCAACCAAAAAATGTAGTCGACCGAGGTATACCATGAAGTACCTCTTCGTCTTGGCGGATCTGCTGCCTTTGGTCTTCTTCGAGCCGGAAGAGCTTGCAGCCGCTTTGCAGCACGAGTTGGGGCACCCGCTGCTGCGGCGGCGCCGCATCCTGTCGACGCTCCGGGTGTCCTGGCGCCTTGCAAGCAGCAGGAAGAAGAAGGGGGACGGGTCCAAAAAATGTGGATGTGGCTCAAGAAAACGCGCTGCAGGAGATAAACCCAACAGAATGATTTGAGTCCCCAACGTAAATGATCTGTCAATTATCTGTATGGTTGCAACCTTGGTTTCATTTCGTGGTGCGAAATGGATTTGGCCCGAGGGACCGACAATCCCCGGGTGGTCCGCCATTGGGACAGGGGGGTCCTGATTTGGGTGTGGCTCAAAATTAAACAGGAGGGGTTACACAGGTTTTGGTCCATGTTTCCACTTACCAGGGTTCCATTTTGGTACCGGTTTTTTGAGCCACAGCCATTTTGCCTTCGGTGGTTGAGCATTGCCTGTTGGGTCAGCAAGGGTTTTTTTCACGTGCCGAGGGGAAGCTCGAGGGAAAGATCATGGACCCCAAGGGGGGCTATGGGGAGGGGGGGCTATCCCAGGCCTTATTAAGGGTTTATCCTTGGGTTATCCTGGGCTTATCCAGGGAGAGCCCCCCCCCCCATAGCCCCCCCGAAGATTCCATGAAGAGAGCAGCTTGTGTTTTCCGCGAATTGGGAAATGAGCTAGGGAAAGAGCGAGGAGAGGTCATGCAGAAAGGTTTTCTGGCATGCAGATGGAGCAGAGGCCGAATGGCCGCACAAGTTGTTTGCCTCGTTTCCAGCGACCAACTTTTGCAGGATGCCACTCGAGTTGAGGCAAGTCGGATTGTGAGATTCATGTGAGAATTAGTTCTGGTAGGCTACGGAGTGGACATCGGTGGATGTTTATCCAGGGTTTGTTCATCAAAGTACGGGGAAAAATTGCGGTGAACTTGCAACAAGTTGCGACCGGCATCTCAGATGCCGAAGCCCCATGTCCACTTCAGTGAGGACCCCCCTGTAAATTCAACCCACCCTGCTTTGTAGTCCCTTTTCACGTTTTCTCACATGGCGAAGGGGTTTGCATGTGGTTCGCCAAATGCCTGACGAACAACAAAAAATTAAAACCGGCCACAGCGGCATCCTAGGTTGCATGTCACTGGTTTGCCACCTGCCTGACGGAAAAAAAAGCCAAGAAAAAACACACACACACACACACACACACACACACACACACACACACACACACACACACACACACACACACACACACACACACACACACACACACTCACCCACACACACACACACACACACACACACACACACACACACACACACACACACACACACACACACACACACACACACACACACACCACACACCACACACCACACACCACACACCACACACCACACACAACACACAACACACAACACACAACACACAACACACAACACACAACACACAACACACATCACACAACACACAACACACAACACACAACACACAACACACAACACACAACACACAACACACAACACACAACACACAACACACAACACACAACACACAACACACACCACACAACACACACCACACAACACACACCACACACCACACACCACACACCACACACCACACACCACACACCACACACCACACACCACACACCACACAACACACAACACACAACACACAACACACAACACACAACACACAACACACAACACACAACACACAACAAACAACACACAACACACAACACACAACACACAACACACAACACACCACACACAACACACAACACACAACACACAACACACAACACACAACACACAACACACAACACACAACACACAACACACAACACACAACACACAACCAACAACCAACAACCAACAACCAACAACCAACAACCAACAACCAACAACCAACAACCAACAACCAACAACCAACAACCAACAACCAACAACCAACAACCAACAACCAACAACCAACAACACACAACACACAACACACAACACACAACACACAACACACAACACACAACACACAACACACAACACACAACACACAACACACAACACACAACACACAACACACAAAACACAACACACAACACACAACACACAAAACACAACACACAAAACACAACACACAACACACAACACACAACACACAACACACAACACACAACACACAACACACAACACACAACACACAACACACAACACACAACACACAACACACAACACACAACACACAACACACAACACACAACACACCCACGCACCCCAGACGCACACACACACACACACACACAACACACAAAACTCAACACACAACACACAACACACAAACACAACACACAACTACACAACACACAAACACACAAACACAACACACAAACACACACACAACAAACTCAACTCACAACACAACAAACAACAACACAAAAACACACAACAACAAACCACACAACACACAACACACACACACAACACACAACACACAACACACACAGACAACATACAAAAGACAACAGACACAGGACAGACAGGACACACAGGACAACAGACAACAGACAACAGGATCCAACAGACAACAGGACCAACAGACAACAGACAACAGAGACAACAGAAACAGACACAGACAACAGGACAACAGACAACAGACGGAAGACAATCAGAAAACAGGACCCCGGGACAAACAGACAACAGTGGGACACACACAACACACACAACACACAACACACAACACACAACACACAACACACAACACACAACACACAACACACAACACACAACACACAACACACAACACAAAACACACAACACACAACACACAACACACAACACACAACACAAAACACACAACACACAACACACAACACACAACACACAACACACAACACACAACACACAACACACAACACACAACACACAACACACAACACACAACACACAACACACAACACACAACACACAACACACAACACACAACACACAACACACAACACACAACACACAACACACAACACACAACACACAACACACAACACACAACACACAACACACAACACACAACACACAACACCAACACACAACACACAACACACAACACACAACACACAACACACAACACACAACACACAACACACAACACACAACACACAACACACAACACACAACACACAACACACAACACACACAACACACAACACACAAACACACACACACACACTTAAAAGCACATCTACACTGGACGGCCGCGCGCGGAGGTACGGCATGATCACCAACGCCAGCACCTGGGCGGTGCCCTTCTTCGGCGCCGTGGCCGCGCTGGCCAGGCGGGGGTCGTTGTCGGGTCGTTGTCCTAGCGGGGGGTGGGTGAACGTCAGCGCGTGGGGGCGTGTCGATCTATCTCTTTTATTTCGGGGACCCCCTTGAAAGCCGTTTGGTGTCCTTCTTCAAAAGCAGGAAAAAAAAGGGGGCCCCCAAAAAGAGATACGCATCCCCATCTTTGAAACACCATTCCTCTCGTCGAATTGGAAGACAGCAGATTGCGGATTAGGAAATTAGGGATCCCGGCCCCACTCCGGCATTGCAGTGGAAAGCTTCGCCTCGTTTCTGATTTGCGCCGAGGAAGCTCACAGGGCTGCACTCGGAGGATGTCTATTGGCCGCTGGGTGCGCCACCAGGCAGCCACCTGCGGGTACAAGCGGAGCCCTTGCTGAGCTTTGAGCTCTCCCGCGAGGCGAATCGACGAGAGACGGATTTTTTTAGCACCTGTATGCGCCTGTTTCTGTGGTGAGGAGTGTTTTTTGGGGGGGATGGTTTGGGTGTTTTGGGGGGGTCTGCCGGGTGTTTTTGTTGTGTCCGTTTTTATCTTCCCGGTGCTGTTGGTGTCTGGTCGGTGTTTTGGGGAATCGACTCGACCAGCTGAACGCGCATAGCTGGCCTTTTGATGGGTTGTTTGGTTGAAGCAACCGGTGGGCTCCGCTGGCTTGGAATGGGCTTTGTGCCCCATTAATCCATCTATCTCTGACCACAAGGTCACCTATGGCAGGGTATGTTTTTGATTCAGGGACGATATGCAACACAGTGAAAGCCCACCAAGAGGAACGGCGTGCCTGTGTTAACCCTATTGTAAACATATGAAGTGGTCATGCGCAGAGCTTGGCTGTGGACCACACCTGGCAACTACATTGGGACCCCCATAGACCCCAGCAAGACATGGTCAGAATGGGGTGAAAGGGTCGGTCTAGTTGACGGCAAGAAGCCGCGAACCGCGCTAGAAGTCTTACGGCAGAAACCTTAGGCCTTTTTGGGTTCATTCGGTTCAAAACAGTTGGGGTTATCATTTACGAAGATACCCCATCTATTTTCCCAACAGGACACCTATGGGTGTGTGTGTGTGTGTCCTTTTTTCAACTGTACCCTTTGTTTTGGGCGTTGGTTTCACTCGTTTCCACAAGGACACTTCGTGAGTGTGCCCCTTTTTTGGGTTGGCTTCACGGGCAACCCCACATATGGGGGTTGGTCTCAAGGGTTTCCCCGCCCCAAAAAAGCCGCCCCTGGCGTGCCCGAAGCCCGACTAGGTCCCCCAGCTAGGTGCCCTTTCTCACCCCTTTTCTGATTAAGAGGGTTCCCCTACTAAAACAGACAAAAAAGAAGGAAGTGGGCCATGGGTACCCACTTACTCGAACCTCTCCAATCTGGAGGACCTAGTTGCTATGAATCTGACATTTTTTGCCTTGACACGTTAACTGGCTTTTTGTGGGCTCGAAATCGGCAAGGCGCCCAAAGCAGCCCTGACGCCCTAAGCGGCTTCCGCCCGGCCCGGCCCGGCCCGCGGAACGCCCTCCGCCCGGAGCGACCAACGCCGCCCAGGCGAGCTTCCGCAAGAGCTGCGCCTTCCTGGCCCTCGCCGAGACCCGCTCTTCCGTGGAGGCGGCGGAGCGCCACTTCCGGTCCCTGCACCACGCCTCCCTGGGCCAGGCGCGGGGGTTCGAACGCGCGCGTGAAAAAAGCGTTTTGGACCCGTGGAAACGCGGGCGGCGGTTTTTTTTATCCCATTGCCCAGAGGCTCCAATTCGATGGATTTAGGGCCTTCGAACAACCTGGTTTTGAGACCCCCAAGCACCTCCGGGGTGTCTAATGGAGGGGTTGGGTCTTCCATTGACAGCCCTCTGGGTGGCTGAAATGGCTGTGGTGGTCAAAGCCGGTTTGGAATTCCATTTTGCCCGGGATCTTCTTTTACTACCTTGATTAAAGCAAACTGGTGGTTGGTAGGTGAATTTACCACCCATTTTTGTCTAGATTGGGATGTTCACTGGGGCTACGGGATTTTGACCAATGGCCAAATGAAAATTTGTTGTTTTCCCCTGTTGGGTTTAAAAAGAATCGATTCCACTATTGCAATCACAGTTTTGTTTTAGAAACAAAAACTAGACGACGAGTGGCCCGGAAGCATAGAGGCAAGTTGATGCAGGTGAGGTAACTCTCGCAAAGTTAGCATGAGGAGTTGGCAGGCAAAGCAATTCTCAAAAAGTTGGCATGAGAAGCTGGCAGGTTAAGTAACTCTCGAATAGTTGGCTGGCAAAGTTGGCGGGTGAAGTAATTCTCGCAAAGTTGACATGAGAAGTTGGCAGGCGAAGTAACTCAAGAGAAAAGTTGGCATGAGAAGTTGGCAGGTGAAACTTTAGAGCCTCCGGCTCAGTCCGCCGACATTGTCCTCTCCCTTTTCTCCTTCTTCCTCTCTTCCTTGTCTCCCTTGTGTGTTCTGTCGTCCTCTCTCCCTCCCTCTGCTCCCATCCTCCCCATCCCCCCAAGCCTCTCTCTCCCCACTCTCCCTCTCTCGTATGTATGCATGCAGGTACATATGTATGTATGTATGTATGTATGTATGTATGTATGTATGTATGTATGTATGTATGTATGTATGTATGTATGTATGTATGTATGGTAATGTAATGTAATGTAATGTAATGTAATGTAATGTAATGTAATGTAATGTAATGTAATGTAATGTAATGTAATGTAATGTAATGTAATGTAATGTAATGTAATGTAATTTTTTTGTCAATGCATGGAATGTATGTATGTATGTATGTATGTATGTATGTATGTATGTATGTATGTATGTATGTATGTATGTATGTATGTATGTATGTATGTATGTAATTATGTACTGTATGTATGTATGTATGTATGTATGTATGTATGTATGTATGTATGTATGTATGTAATGTATGTATGTATGTATGTATGTATGTAATGTATGTATGTATGTATGTATGTATGTATGTAATGTATGTATGTATGTATGTATGTATGTATGTATGTAAGTAAGTAAGTATGTATGTATGTATGTATGTATGTATGTATGTATGTATGTATGTATGTATGTATGTATGTATGTATGTATGTATGTATGTATGTATGTATGTATGTATGTATGTATGTTAATGTATGTATGTATGTATGTATGTATGTATGTATGTATGTATGTAATGTATGCATGCATGTATGTATGTTGTATGTATGTATGTATGTATGTATGTATGTATGTATGTATGTATGTATGTATGTATGTATGTATGTATGTATGTATGTATGTATGTATGTTGTTTGTATGTAGGTTGTATGTATGTATGTATGTTTGTATGTATGTAAGTTATGTATGTATGTATGTATGTATGTAATGTATGTATGTTGTATGTATGTTTATGTATGTATGTCATGTTATGTATGTATGTATGTATGTATGTGTGTGTATGTGTGTATGTATGTATGTATGTATGTATGTATGTATGTATGTATGTATGTATGTATGTATGTATGTATGTATGTTATGTATGTTATGTATGGTATGTATGGTATGTATGTTATGTATGTTATGTATGTTATGTATGTTATGTATGTTATGTATGTTATGTATGTATGTATGTATGTATGTATGTATGTATGTATGTATGTAATGTATGTATGTATGCATGTATGTATGTATGTATGTATGTATGTATGTGTGTAATGTATGTATGTAATGTATGTATGTATGTATGTAATGTAATGTAATGTAATGCATGCATGCATGTATGTATGTATGTATGTATGTAGTGTATGTATGTATGTATGTATGTATGTATGTATGTATGTATGTATGTATGTATGTATGTATGTATGTATGTATGTATGTATGTATGTATGTATGTATGTATGTATGTATGTATGTATGTATGTATGTAATTATGTACTGTATGTATGTATGTATGTATGTATGTATGTATGTATGTATGTATGTATGTATGTAATGTATGTATGTATGTATGTATGTATGTAATGTATGTATGTATGTATGTATGTATGTATGTAATGTATGTATGTATGTATGTATGTATGTATGTATGTAAGTAAGTAAGTATGTATGTATGTATGTATGTATGTATGTATGTATGTATGTATGTATGTATGTATGTATGTATGTATGTATGTATGTATGTATGTATGTATGTATGTATGTATGTATGTTAATGTATGTATGTATGTATGTATGTATGTATGTATGTATGTATGTAATGTATGCATGCATGTATGTATGTTGTATGTATGTATGTATGTATGTATGTATGTATGTATGTATGTATGTATGTATGTATGTATGTATGTATGTATGTATGTATGTATGTATTTCCCGCAAAAAACACGGTTTTTCCAGCGTTTTCGCAAAGAGGACGTCCAAAAACATTGAGTTTTTCCAGATTTTCGGCAAAAGGATGCAGGAAGCCCAAGCCAGCAAAAAAGCCGGCAGGGGGAATCGAGCCTGGGACCCCTGTTTTCCCACACCGGCTCCCCGAAGACTACGTTTAGTGGAACGTCATCAAATTGCCACGCGGTACGTGGGGGACCCCCCCCCCCCCAAAAACCTACGTAATAGACGTCGGGCGGGGGGGGGTTAGGGGGGGGGTTATCCTCTATCCTCTAGTAAGTATCCGACACGCCGAGCAATGTCGGCGGATAACTCTCAAAGAGTTGGCATGAGAAGTTGGCAGGCGAAGTAACTCTCGAAAAGTTGGCGTGAGAAGCTGGCAGGTGAAGTAATTCTCGAAAAGTTGGCACGAGAAGATGGCGCGTGAAGTAACTCTCGAAAAGTTGGCGTGAGAAGCTGGCAGGTGAAGTAACTATCGAAAAGTTAGCATGAGAAGTTGGCAGGCGAAGTAATTCTCGAAAAGTTGGCGCGAGAAGTTGGCAGGCGAAGTAACTCTCGAAAAGTTGGCAGGCGATGTTGGCAGGTGAAGTACCTCTCGAAATGTTGGCATGAGAAGCTGGCAGGTGAAGTAATTTTTCGAAAAGTTGCCACGAGAGGTTGGCAGATAAAGTATTTCTCGAAAAGTTGGCATGAGAAGTTGGCAGGTGAAGTAATTCTCGAAAAGTTGGCAGGTGAAGTTGCCACGAGAGGTTGGCAGGTAAAGTATTTCTCGAAAAGTTGGCTTGAGAAGTTGGCAGGTAAAGTAATTCTCGAAAAGTTGGCATGAGAAGCTCGCAGGTGTAGTAACTCTCGAAAAGTTGGCATGATAAGCTCGCAGGTGGAGTAACTCCTCGAAAAGTTGGCACGAGAAGTTGGCAGGTGAAGTAACTCTCGAAAAGGTGGCATGAGAAGCTGGCAGGTGAAGTAATTCTCGAAGTTTCGGCATGAGAAACTGGCAGGTGAAGTAATTAACCCTCAAAAAGCTGGAGCGGCGGAGGCGCTCCGCGTGCTACATTTGCAATTTACAGTTGCGATTTTCCTGCCATTTGTATCTAAAAGTTGCGATTTTCCAGCCGGAGCTGCGGGAGCACGCTCCGCGTACTACGTCTGTACTTAAAAAGTGCGATTTTCCAGCCGGAGCTGCAGCAGCCTCCGCGTACTACGTCTGTACTTAAAAGTTGCGATTTTCCAGCCGGAGCTGCAGGAGCACGCTCCGCGTACTACGTTTGTACTTAAAAGCTGCGTTTTTCAAGCCGGAGCTGCCGCGGACCAGGGGGGAATCGAACCCGGGACCGCGGGATTGCGAAAGCAGGCGCGCACACCACGAGACAACTTCCAAAAGCCGTTTCGCGAGCAAGAAAATCGCACGGCGCCCCAGCGAGAGCGCTTCGACACGCACGATCTCCGCAGAGGGTTCATCGGGCTCAAGACAGATGCGCACGGCGCCACAGCGAGAGCGATCCGACACGCACGATCCCCGCAGAGGGTTCATCGGGCTCATGACAAATTCGCACGGCGCCACAGCGAGAGCGCTTCGACACGCAGGATCTCCGC